GAGGCACGAGGCAGGCACGGGGCGGGGTGCTGGGAGGCACGAGGCAGGCACGGGGCAGGGTGCTGGGAGGCACGAGGCAGGCACGGGGCAGGGTGCTGGGTGGCACCTGCATCTTGTTGCTGAGGTAACCAGCCAGATGCTTAACCTCCCATTTTTACACAACATATGTTTAGTGAGGTAACTGCTTTAAATCTGCATAACAATTAACCACACAACTCCTTAATCCCAGCCCTCGGGAGGTAGAAGCAGGCAGATCTCTGAGTCCGAGGCCAACATGGTCTATTGTGTGAGAAAAACCTGTCTCAAAAAACCAAAAGCCAAATAATGATAATAAATAAAAGCAACAGGATCAAGCAGGAACAAGTGCCATTTTTTTTCTATGTATGTGTGTATGTATTATGTATGTATGTATGTATGTATGTATGTATGTAAGATCTTTATCCAGGCCCGGCGGTGCATTTCTCCAATCCCAGCATTGGAGAGGAACACTGACCATTGAGTTCCGGGCCTAGACCACATACTGAGGCCCCTTCTCAAGTTACTCTTATTTTATTGATATCTGTGCCACATGTGCCCGTGTAGTGAGAAGAGTGCTGGATGCCCCAGAGCTGGAGTTGCAGACCTTAAGCTGCTGAGAATGGCCGGCTGCTCTAGACAGCAGTAACTGCTGAAGCGGCCCTCAGATGTCTTTGCTGGTAGTATTCAAATAGTTAAGTGGGTTATTTTGTTTGTTTTCAAGATTTATGTAATTTATGTACGCGTCTGCATGTACATCTGCACACTATAAGAGGGCACAGAAGCCAATGGAATGGTTGTGAGCCACCACGAGATGCTGGGAACTGAACTCAGGACCTCTGGAAGAGGAGCAGTCAGTGCTTTCAACTGCAGAAATATCTCTCCAGCTCCTAAATACTGCTGTCACTTTGCCCTTCCGAGGTTACCTGGGTGATTTTTGTGGCTGTCAATACTTTTTTCTAACTGAAAGTTAAAGCTGGGAAGAGGGCTAGAAGGTAGCTAGGATGCAAACCACACCTTTCTCTCCCAGCCACCTTCTCAGAAGAGCCTGTTGAACTAATTATATCTACACAATGGACTCCAACAGTGGATTTTCCCAATAGTAAAGCTCTGTCTCTGTTTTTGAGAACTCTCTGTATAGCAGGTGACCTTGAACTTCTGACCTTTGACTAAGTGCTGGTATCAGGGGAGTGTGTTGTGTGTTGTTTTTGTTCTTTTGGCTTTTTGAGGGACCTGTTTCCCAGCTCCCAAATAAATCACACAGAGGCTTATTCTAAGTTATGAATGCCCAGCCGTAGCTTGGCTTGTGTCTGGCCAGTTTTTCTTATGTTAACACATCTACCTTTTTCCGCTGGGCTTTTATGTTTCTTTAATTCTGTATTTCTTTTACTTCTTTACTTCTTTCTCCATGGCTTGCCACACTCCGAGTAGCTGGCTGACTGGCCCCTGAAATCCTCCTCTCCTTGTTCTGTTGCTCTTCTTTCCTCCCAAGATTTCTCCTTTTATTATCCTCTGCCTGCCAGCCCTGCTTCTCCTTGCTCCTGCTTCGTTATTGGCCATTCAGTTATTAGAACATCAGGTGTTTTAGACAGGCACAGTAATTAACACAGCTTCAGAGTTAAAACAAATGAAGCGTAAACAAAGCAACACCTGAAAATAACATTCCTCAACAGAAGTGTGTGCTGGAGATACAGAACCTGGTTCTTATACATGTTAGGAAAATAACTAGGCTACAGCCATTAAACCTTATCCCTTCAATTAAAGAAATAGCCCAAAACATTGTCCCCTACCCCTTTGGACAACCCCACCACAACTTAACCCTACGGGGACAAATTAGGGGAAACTGGAGAAGGAAAAGTAAATGTTAAACTTGTGAGAAGAAAAGGTGAGAAGGTAGCAGCCTCAGACTACAGTCAGTGGCTGGCATCTTAAATGCTTCAAGATGGGGCTGCTGGAGGTTAAGGACAGACTGGACAAGGGAACCAAACAAGCTGGTTTTGAAATTGAGGGCCTGCTATCTTATTTACTCACTGAGTGTCTGGGGTTGGGGTCAACTTCCTGCTTCCTGGAATTCAGTTTAGGGCCTTAGCTTGGGGGAGAGGGTCACGAGTAAACCATACACTACCTACTACTGTATGTTTACAATAACTGAGCCTTGAGTGTCTGTTTTTAACTGTCCCAAACAGAGTACAGATAAAGTACAATCTCACTTTTGGAGGATATTTTGTGAACTTACTTCCAAGTCGCTCTTACCAAACCTTTCTTGGACATGTATCCAGTAATACACATATTCCCTTTACTTATGTAAAAGTACACAGCCTTACTTATTCTTAGTAGACGTTGGTCCTAGACTTTTATAATTAAAACACTACTGACAAAACTAAGCCTGTGTATGTCTCCTTGACTGGACATTTAAAAAATTACTATAGAATACGAAGGAGCTGCATTAACATAAAATTCAAGTAAACTATATGCTGACCCACGAATTCCCTGACACTGAGCTCACTCAGCAGCATGTAGAGCTATCAAGGTTTGCTTTGTGCTCTTTTCAAATGAAATGCAAGTTGATTCTGTGGTTGGTTCTGCTGAGCCAACCTTCATCTTTGAATATGCTCTACCTTCACACTCAAGAGTTTAGCCTGCTTTGAAACATATTTATCAACTGGGCCAGATGGTGGCAGCACATCCCTTTAATCCCAGCACTTGGGAGACAGAGGCAAGCAGATTTGAGTTGTAGGACAGCCTGGTCTACATACAGAGCAAGGACTACATGGAAAACCCATCTCTGAAAGAAGGAAGGAAAGAGAATTGGACAAAGGTTCAGTGTTTAAGAGCACTAGATTGCTGCTCTTGCAGGACCTGGGCTCGATCTCCAGCATTCAGGTGGCCACTCACTACTGCCTGTTAACTCCAGCTCAGTTACCCTGACACCCTCTCTCTTGGCCTCCACCAGGAGTGTAACTGGTTACCAGACATACATCCAAGCAACACACACACACACAAATTTTAAAAAAAATTTATTTGGAAAGCAAATCATTTAAATCCCAGGATCAGTCACTACAGTCCTGTGGAATACGCACTACCGTGGGCAGCCAGCCCATCCTCATGAAGCCCTGAGAAGACAAGAGACTTGGGCTCTCGGCAATGGGGAACAAAGCTGGCCTGCAACCATATTATGAAGCATTTAGAAGATTCTGATAAGTCAGGGATCAGGCACATGGAACTTAAATTACCTTACAAAATTATGACAGACAAGTTACTGTCAAACCAAGATTAATCCACTAAGAAAATATTACTTAATTGTATAGGGAAACACAATATATTCTCATTCCATGCTGTGCCTAATTTTAGAATTAAATTATGCTTTGTGAGCCTGATAGTCGTGGCAATCCTGAATACGCCACCTGGCGGGAACAGAATTTATTTTAACTTTGTGTATGGGTCCTTTGCCTCCTCAGTTTCTGTTTAGGAATATCAAGTTGCAGTAAGACTAAGCATCTCGCCTTGTATTAAGGCGGGACAAGGTGATCCAGTATGAGAGTAGGGTCCCAAAAGCCAGCAAAAGAGTCAGAGACAGGCCCTGCTCCCACCCACAAGAGGACCAAGCTATACAACTGTCCCATGGACACAGAGGGCCTAACTCAATCCCACAGGTTTTCTGGTTGTCAGTTCAAACTCTGTAAGCTCCTCTGAGCCAGCTTAGCTTTCTTCAGCAGGATTTCCCACACTCAATCTAAAGTATGTCTGTGGGTCTCTGCATCTGTTTCCATCAGTTGCTGGAGGAAGCACCTCTGACGGCAGCTGGGTTAGGCAGCAGTCTGTAAGTATACCAGAATATCATTAGGCATCGTTATATTGATATTTTTTTTCTCCTGTTGTGTTTGGCTCTATCCTAGGTTTCTGGACCATTCAGCCAGCGGCAGGGTGGGCTCTCATGGCTCTCAGGCTGAACCAGTACCTGGTTGGCAGGACAGACTGTAGGTCAAAGGTTGATGTCCCAGTCCCTCCACCAGGAGTCTTGCCTGGTCAGAGGTGGCCATTTCAGGCTACAGCTGAGAATCCCTTGCACTGGACTTCTACCTGATCCTGACATGACCCCCATCCCTTTCCAGTCGGCTTTCAGTCCTCTCCCTCCTCACTCTACACCCGCATCTGAACCCCCACATTCCCATTCCACCTCACCCCAGTCCACCCTCAGTGAGATCCAGGTGACCCCCTTTGAGCCCCCCTTGTTACTTAGCCTCTCTGGGTGTGTGGACTGTAGCCTGGTTATCCTTTACAGCTAATACCTACTTGTCGTATACAATGATCATCTAAGATATGACACCAGGAAACATGCTGTTAAGTGACAGAACACATACTCAAACCCAGTACAGCAAGACTGAGCTGTGCACACCAGAGAGTGCTGGCTACTCTTTCAAAGTTCATGAATTCAATTCCCAGCATCTACATCGCGGCTCACAACCATCTATAATGAGATCAGGTACCCTCTTCTGGCCTGCAGGCATAATACATGAAGGCAGAACACTGTATACATAATAAATAAATCTTTAAGAAATACATTTTTTAAATTTTCGCCCGTGATATTTTTTAAAGATTTATTTATTATGTATACAACATTCTGCATCCATGTATGCCCACACACCAGAAAAGGGCAACATCTCATTACAGATGGTTGTGAGCCACCATGTGGTTGCTGGGAATTGAACTCAGGACCTCTGGAAGAGCAGTCAGTGCTCTTAACTACTGAGCCATCTCTCCAGCCCAAGAAATAAATCTTTAAGAAAAAAAAAATCTCAGTCTCAATCGTTACCATAAGAGAATGTAGACATTCATTATTTGTTGTACACCCATGACTTACAGCACGAAGGAGACCAGCTTAGAGTTCTCTCTTTGAATTTCTTGAATCCCGCCCTTAGTTTTGTTTTTTTTTTTGGGGGGGGGAGCAGGGGTGGGGGGAGAAATACTGTTTATAAGTTGTGTGTACTTCTGAATGACAGGGAGACCCAAGAGCTACACGATGGCTCTGAGGAGCACGGCTGCTCTTCCAGAGCCCAGGTTCAATTCCCAGCACCACACGGTGGCTCACAGCTGTCTGTCAACTCGTTACAGGGGATCCAATGCCCCTTTCTGGCCTGTGGGCACTGTCCTTGGCACACAGGCATACGGGAAGGCAAAGTACCAGTATACACAGAATAAAAATTTGAAATGAAACTGTCAAACTCATTAGCTAACAGAATCACACCAGCTCGCAGTGCTTTTTCTGTAGTGATTCCGGTAGGATCAACTAGATTTATCTCACATGATTATAAAGATCAAAACACAAAATGTTGACAGTATAAATCCTTTAAATTATAAATTTCCTGGAAGCGAAGGGCTAAAGCCAAGTAAGAAATCTATAGCTGAATTCATTTACGTGTTTGCTCAGCACATGTGTATAATCAGTGTGATCAGCTGAAACACGGACTTGACATGTACTTCATCACGGCAAACTGATTGACTGAGGGAGGCAAACTGTTGATGCTGCTCAAGCCAGAAATCCTCAAAGGCCTTTGCAACTAAATTTCAGCCTCTAATAACATTGCATCCCTTATCTTTCATGGTAAATATAATTATTGTAATATTTACCTGTTATTAAATGAATTCAGCTTTAATCTAGGAATCCATGCTGAAATCAAAATTACTTAGCATCATCCCTGGAAAATAAAAACACACAAAGGTTACACATTACACTTACATAAAACATACCAACACGCTCTATGTGCCAAGTCGCGAGGAAACTGATAACGCTCATCTTTACCTGAAGGCCATGTGCGGCACGCATTTGCCATCATAGCAAGTGGATGGAATAATGAAATCACTCTTGGCCACACACCAAGTTTAAGGTCTGTTAGCTTAGGCTACAAAGGATCTGCAAAATATAAATTTTTCAACAAAACCCTAAGCCAACATCAAATTGGGGAAGGACCTCTATACAAAGTTAGGGTTTTAAGAATTACGATGGGGTTAGATCACCTGAGCTCTGCTCCTAACGCTCACATCAGGCAGCCCAGTGAGTCCAGCTCCAGTGAGTCCACCATTCTCTTCTGGCAGCACACTCACAGGATGGCGGGGTAAGGAGGCTTTAACTTCCTCTGCCATAAGAGCTTTCTTGTACCGGAAATAAAGTTCATTACCACAAATAACCTCCAACCTTCCTATCCTTCACCTAATTATGAACTAGAATTTTTCACATTGTTAGCAATTAACATTAAAATTGTTGTTAGATTAGTGGCAGGCACCAAAAGTGCTAGAGTGCAGAGTAAGAAAAAGGAAAAAACTTGCTAGGTGTGGGTTAGCCCAGCATGGAGGCTGAGGGACGTTTCTGGATTTCAGATCAGTCTACCCAAACAAAAAGAATCCTTTACAAGTAAGGCTTCTGAACAAGATATGTCTTGGGTAGGTATTAAAATTGTGGGAGGTGAAGAGATAAGCTCAGAGGTTAAGAACATTGACTGCTCTTCCAGAGGTCCTGAGTTCAATTCCCAGCAACCACATGGTGGCTCATAACCATCTACAGTGAGATCTGGTGCCCTCTTCTGGCCTGCAGGCATACACAGAGGCAAAACACTATGTACATAATAAATTAAGTATGTTTTTTAAAATTGCATGTGCAGGAGCTGGAGAGAAGGCTCAGGTAGAGCACTGGCCTTCCAGAGGAACCCAGGTTCAATTCCCAGCACCCACATGGCAGCTCACGACTGTTTGTAACTCCAGGGATCTGACACCTTCACACCAATGCACATAAAAATAAAGTTATTTTAAAAAGAAAATTGCATGTGTAACTAAGCATTCACACACTGCAAAACCACTTAATTAAAATTAAGTTTCTGCTCAGGGCTGTAACCCCAACACTTTACTTGGGAGGCAGAGGCAGGAGAATGAAGTTCCAGGCCAGCCTCTCTCAAAGACCCTCTCTCAAAACTGTTCAGCCAAGCTAGTAACAGCTGACTGTTCAGGAATTCTGTACTGCAACCCTGAACACAATATGGAACATTTACATCACTGCAGAAAACCCCACTGGAAATCAGGACCCAACGGTTCATCTGACTAATAAGTTGATAAGTTGACAGGAAAAAAAAGGGGTTCTCCCTTTAAAACTCCTACTGTAAGTATAGCCAAATGTGGTGGCACACACCTGCGATTCCAACATATGGGAGGCGAATCAGGAATACAAATCCAACCTGGCTACATAATTTGAAAAAAAAATTCCACAATCCCATATTTACACAGAAATCTCTGCCTCCGCTAATTCCTGAAAGTATAAAACAATTCGACTGAACTCCATGCTGTCCACTTTCCCATGGAAAGGCAGAAATGCAAGTGGTTAAGGACCTCAGAGACATACATGTTCCTCCCATCACATAAAAATGAGATAAGTTGGGCTGGAGAGATGGCTCAGAGGTTAAGAGCATTGCCTGCTCTTCCAAAGGTCCTGAGTTCAATTCCCAGCAACCACATGGTGGCTCACAACCATCTGTAGTGAGGTCTGGTGCCCTCTTCTGGCCTGCAGGCATACACATAGACATAATGTTGTATACATAATAAATAATAAATATAAAAAAAATGAGATAAATAAGACACAGCACAAGTTTCTACAGTTTGAACAATGCCTATTGCCTCCAAATTCTTTTAAACACATTTAAATGCTTTTCACACTGTTTGAAGGGAACAATTACTATCTCATAAAACCCAAATTCCAAGGTCTTTCCTGGTGTTAAATACTGCCTTCCACAGTATATGGTCTCTCTCATGCATGTGTGAGCACACACGCCAACACATTATCGCCTAAGAATTTTATAAATATTTTATATTTATATTTTATAAATATGCCGTGTCGTGGAGCATGCCTTAATCCCAGCATTCAGGAGGCAGAGGCAGACAAGTCTGAGTTTTAGGACAGCCTGGTCTACATGGCAAATTCGAGGCCAGCCAGTACAGGTATGAATCTATAATACCAGCCTGAGGTCAGCAAGTTTAAAACAAGCTTGCATAATCTAGATTCTGTTTCAAACAATTGTTTACAGAGCTAGAAAGAACTGCAGCTCAGTACCGAGTGCCACAGGAAGGGGACAGGGGAGCAGCACAGGTGTGCAATGCAGAACATCCGGGTCAAATGAGCACCTGTCTTCATAATCACATCAGCCTGGTAACCTTCCTCTGGGGAATGGCCAAATCCAAGACCACTCTCTAGATAGTCTGGGGTTTCCACAGGGCACACAGAGCGCTCCAGCCCCAGCTCTTTCCTGGAGGCACTTCATCTTCAACCTGAAACCAGAGGACAGAAGAAAGTAAACACTAAGTTCCAGCTCCTACCCACTGCCAGCCGCTGGGCACAGAGACAGAATACACAGCACATATGACCAGCTAGGCAGCCCATCGCTGGTTCATTCACCCAGGGACCATGACTGGTTAGACAAATGAACAGTGCCTAAAAGCTGGGTTCAAGGCAGCAAAACTCCCCCTGCTGTTAAATTGCTATTTCCCCTTCTACCAGTTTTCCACCTTAGGGTTTACAATCTACTTTCTATAGATTACCTCATTTTCCAAGTACAATGATCTGTACAAGTAAGGTTTAGAGAAAGCAAGGTAAGCCTGATGGTAAAGGAAACAAATTGTTGTTCTTTCCCCAGCTTTATTAAGGTCTAATCGACAAACTGCATAGTTGAATGGCCAAGTGCTTTGAACAGAGGCAACCGTCACCGCTCACCCTTTGTGACATGCCCCCACTGTGTCTAAGTCCAACAGTTTAGGCTCTACACACAAGTAAGATCAAGAATTGTCCTTCAGTGTGTGGTTCATTTCCCTCAGAAAACATCCGCCTGGTTCCATTTCGAGGCTGAATAGTATGTAAGGCTGTATGTACCACCTTAATCCACAAATTAAAACAGTATGTCTATTTTAGCCATTGCGAATGAGGCCTCAGTGAATGTGGGAATAGCTTTCTATGTTTGTACATTCCATAATATGATATATTTTTGTTGTGGGTTTTTTCTTTAGATAATGGTATCGAGGAGCCCATACTAGCCTTAAACTCACTGGGGAGCCAATGGCGATCTTAAACTTTTCATAGAATTTTTTGTTTGTTTTTAAGACAAGTCTAGCTTTTCTTAGAGAGCAGAAAGGGCTGTGATCAGGAGTGTCACCACTCTAGAGACAACGCTAGCTAGGCAAACATCTCAGAGGTTGACTGACGTACCCTGCCCAGACAATGGGTTCTGAAGGCAGACAGACTACATTCTAATCAAAGCGATGAAGAAAGCCACCTCACAGTAAGCATTTCTTTAAAGATCAATGGGGTGATGCACACTTTACACTGCAGCTGCCGTGGAGATAAATGTTTGATGTGGCTCTGTCACTCGTAAAGATCAACACACTAATAACATATTCTCCACGAAAAAAGCCATTGCTCACAGGAACTCTGAAGTCAGAAAGATCCTCTAGCTTTAAGATCTTGTCTTTTAGGACTAAAGGGCCCAGATTTGCACCTCCATTTCTGCTATCCTCAGTGCTGGGATGGCAGGCACATGCAGCCATGTCTGGCTTTTGTGGATTTAAATTTAGGCTTGGTCCTCTTACCCACTACACCTGCCTTCTAATCCCCAATGTCCTCCCATCTACTGTTTCTGAGATAGGGTCTCGCCATTTAAGCCCTGGCTATCCTAGAAAAATGCCCAAAGGCGGCTTCCTTATGTGGTTAGTCGACTTTTCCTACCTTAGTGCTAAAATATGACTAACACCAGAATTATCATTTCTCCAGTAACTACGAAAGCATGCCCCTCTGCCCCTGCGACCATGCAAGAAGCGCATGGTTATTTTGAGTCTGTCACCCTTTCCTAACATTAATGTGCTCAAAAGATAACCTATACCACTCCACCTGAACTCAGGGTAAGTAAGGATTGTCAGCATGGTCTTTACCTATGGCATAAAACTCATTACTGCTAGCCAGGACTGGCTCCAAGTCAGCACCATGCACAAAGTAAATAGAAGCAATAGGAAGCACTACAGTATCCACATTTAGATACCATAGAAACCTTTTAATTACTTATTTGTGTATGAATGGTTTGTCTGCATGCATGTATGTGCACCATGTGTGTTCCTGGTCTCCAGATCCCCTGGAACTGGTCTCTGATAGTTGAGACACTGTATAAAGGCTGGGAACCGAATGCAGGTCCTCTTTCCGCACGTGCTCCTAACTGCTGAGCCGTCTCACCAGACCTCAGACATCTAAAACCCTCTCAAATAGAATATACTAAAGTCCAACTTCAATGCCACACACACCAACTGACTTAGTTACTCATTTGTGGGGGAATAGTAAGACCATAAGCTATTTAAATAACTACCAGTAAAAACTAATAAAGTATGGCACAGCCACATGTGAAAAGCATGCGGATGCTCTTTAAAAATATGGAGAAGTGGGTATGAGCACACATACTCTATGAGAGTGCACACAGCATCCTTAGCTACACTGGCCCTAGGAAGACGTAAAAGCCTTCACTGTGCATTCAACCTGTTCAGTCCCCAGCAGTCACATGGCTGGTGTCTCAAAACTGTCAGTAACTACAGTTCCAGGGAATTTAATGTTCTCTCCTGGACTCTGCAGGAAGCAGGCACACATACATACACGCATTATGTGTGTAATTATGGACTTAAAGACAAATGAGGCCAAGTATAAGAGCATCAGAGTCACCAAGGCCGATTAGTACGTTATTTAGGCTAAGGTTTCTCTTTCTCCATCTTTCCTGCCTATAGCAGCAACCCATGGGCCAGGTGTGATGCCCCAGGCCTTGGATCCCAGCCAAGACACAGTTATCGAGAGTTGAGGCCACCCTGGACTACATAGAAAGTTCCAGGACAGCAAGAGCTACCTACATGAGACTCTGTCTCAGAAACTTAAAACAATTCAGCAAGGATGCAGAGATGGATCAGCAGTTAAGAATGCTTACCACTCTTGCAGAGGACCTGAGTTCAATTCCCAGCACCCGTGTAGGGCAGCTCACTGCTGTAGGTAACACAGTTCCAGGGATCTAAAAGCCTCCTCTGGCTCAGAGAATACTTGCATACTGTCTGCATAAACCGTCTCCACACACATACATAATTAAAAATAAACCCGTAAAAAAATAAAATAACCAAGTTTACATTCTGACTAACATTAAAAAAAAAAAAGCGCGAACCTATGAGATCACACTGAAGGTCATTAGAAAAGAAAAAAAAAAACTTCTCATGAGAAAAAGTAGCCACAGTATGTATGGTAAACTCGCGTCTTACCTTTACAAGGTATTTACCAGTTACTGTACACCAACAAGGGGCTAGACTTTATACTTTTGTTCGCTCTTCGAAAAGGATGCCCAGAATGGCTCAGATATTCTCCGATGTAACCGGAGTTGTATCACCAGAACGGACCGTGGCGCTGCAATTTCAATTTGCACTAAGCTGAGATCCCTAGTCCTTCTCAATGTGTCTTATGTCTTATCCTCATAGGGCTGATTAAATCACCTGTCCTCGAAATTTGCTATCTAGTCTCATACACGCTCTGAGAAAATTCTACAGCAAACACTTCAAAAAGGAGTCTCAAATCCGCCAAGGTCGTGGCCCCCAGAGACATTCAACCACCAGAAAACTAAAACACGGACTCAACTCACCCTCCGGGGATCGCCCGAACAGATGAGCAAACAGCGCTGGGGTAATAACGGTCCCTAGCAAGCAAAACGAAGTCAGGATTTCCCGAGAATCAGGCACTCTGTGCACGCGGTAGAATCTATTTCTGGGTCACCAGGTCCGGACCCAAGACTGCCGAGGCCCACGTGGACACAAGCCAGGTAGTTCACCTTGTTGCCGGCCCCTAACCTCCCAAAACAGAAAAGAATCTCCTCCGAACTCACAGACTTCAGCGCCGACTTGAAATAAAAGCCTGGCCCCTGAGTAAACCGCTCAAAAGAAAGAATTTGAAAACCAGAGAACCAAACTGATTGCACACTCACCAGCCCACCAGACAGGAGAGGTAGAGAAAGCAGAAGGAGAGGAAGCGACCTAAGTAACGGACCTCCGAGTTTGATTGGTTGAGTCCAGGGAGCCGCCCCTCCTCCCTGACCTTAACGGGTGCTGCCGGGCTGCAACTCTGTTTTACGATTGAACATCACCAAATTTCTTTCTAGATGAGAGCACAAAACACAAGCAAACGGGCTAACTGAAGGGACTTGGGCACGTCCTTGTTCACGTGAGTCTAGTCCCTTCTATTCCAATTTCCATCCTGAGTTAACTTCCTGTCCTTTGCGATCTCAACACGGTTAACTTATGCAAGGTAGTAGGTCCAATTATAAATAAGCTGCATTCAAGTTAATCTGCAAACTAACATTTATTAACGGGTGGTTTAGTGTTTATTCTTTTTTTCCCCCCTTTTTTCGAGGCAGGGTTCCTCTGTTGCTTTGGTGGCTGTCCTGGAACTCACTCTTGTAGACCAGGCTGGCCTTGACCTCACAGAGATCCGCCTGCCTCTGCCTCCCGAGTTCAGGGATTAAAGGCGTGTGCCACCACCGCCCGGTTTAGTGTTTATTCTTTAAATTAATATTTGAATACTTGTACACATCTAAGCCTCCATTCCTTTGTTTTAAATTATTGTGAACGCCAAGAGGGAGGATTAACTGAATGACAGGTTGCCCTTGAAGTTAGGTTTGCCCCGGACGAAAGCTTTATTTACTTGCCGTCTGGACACGTCATTCAGACAAGCAGCAGTCTACAGAATGGGAAAGATTCAAGATCATGCTGATCTACAAGAGCTAGCTCCAGGACAGGCTCCAAAGCTAAAAAGAAACCCTATCTTGAACCCCCCCACACACACCCAAAATAAAAGATTGGGAAAGATCTTCACCAGCACATCCAATTGAGGATTAATGTCTAAAATACACTGAAAACTAGAGAGAGAGAGAGAGAGAGAGAGAGAGAGAGAGAGAGAGAGAGAGAGAGAGAAAACAAAAAAATTAAAAATGTAGGGCAGATCTAAACAAAGAATTCTTAAAATGGCTAATGGCTAAGAATCATGTAAACAATGTTCAACATCCTTAGTTCTCAGGGAAATACAAATCAAAATTTCCTTAAGATTTCATCTTACCACAGCCAAGATCAATAAAACAAGAGATCATACTGGCAAGGATGTAGGGAAAGGAAAATACTCATCTGTTGTTGGTGGGAGCACAAGTTCTCACAGCCACTGTGGAACCAGTGCGGTGGTTCCTCAGGAAGCTGGGAAGCATGTGCTTCTCTGTTCAGAACAGCCAGGAATTAGAAACAGCCCCAGATGTCCACCAGCACATGAATGGGTCAAGGGGGCGGAGAGTGGTACTATACAATGGATTATTATTCATCTGTTTAAAAAAGGAAGACATTACAAACCAGCAGGTATGGTGGCACATATCTGTAATCCCAGCACTCAGGACAAAGAGGAAGGTGGATCCTGAGTTTGAGGCCTGGTCTACAGAGTTAGCTCCAGGAAAAAACAGGGCTCCACAGAGAAACCCTGGGAAGAAGAAGGAGGAGGAGGAGGAAGAGGAGAAATAATTATGACATTCACAAGTAAATGATGGAACTAGAAAAAAAATCATCTGGAGTGAGGTAACCCAGACTTAAAAAAGACAAATATGTAATATGTCTTCTCTTATATGTAGATGTTAGCTTTGTAGCCCAGGCTGGACTCAAACTCAGAAATCCACCTGACTCTGCCTCCAGAGCACTGTGGTTAAAGGCATGTACCACCACCCAGCACGGTTATTGGCTTTTGAGCTTTCAATAGTCATACTACAATGCATACAACCACAGAGGTTAGCAGATCCCCAAGAAAAGAAAAATAGAATATATTTGGAGAAACAAAGACTGGAACGAGAGGATTAAAGGGGAGGGGGTGGAAGAGAGAGGTAAAGAGGCAGGGGCAAGCAACTAGGGGGCATATGGACACCTAATACTGTAGACGCTTCTGAAAGTGCATGCATGTATGAAAGAAATCTAAATGGAGTTACCAAATAACAGGGGTGAGACATCTCTCGCAACCAAGAGAAACCTCCAGGGCCAGGAATGGGTTACATATAACTGAGTCCTTGGCCAAAGGGGCTCCATGGAAACCCCCAAACAACTAAGTCTATTGCCAAGTATTGGTTGCTTTCTGCAAACAGATGGTAAGTCCCTATTGCTAAAAATACCTAGATACTGCACTGAATATGGAGGAGTCGAGCTAGTGCCTAGCTTGAGGCGTGCATCCTACTGACCTCTTTCCATGGTACCGGAAGGCACTCTGCACGCCCACCATTGCAGGTTAGGGGTCCTGAAATGATAGTCCTGGGGTCTTGATGCGGCTCGTTTTCTCTGCCACCTGAAGTCTAACAGGTAGCAGCAGAGACATCTCGAGCACCGTAGACAGAATCAGCAACTGAAGAGAGGGTTTATTGGGGATGAGGAAACAGGCACAGAGTGAGACTCTCTGCAAAGCAAAGTGGGGACTTGGAAAGTCAAAAATGCAATCTCTTCCCTAGGGCGGGGAGTTTTACATCTTTTGGAGAGTTTTCTTTCCCTAATTTAGGGTTGGTCAGTTTGAAGAAAGCCAGAATGGTTGGCTCAGAACTGCGGTGTGACATGTCTTGACGAGGTCTTGAACGTATTAAGCCAGCCCATCATCATGGAGCCTACTGGTGGGAAACAGAAGCCTACAGAGCACTTGTTTTAAGGTATCAGGCTTTTGTGTCAAGCCAGGAGGGTAAGGAAGAAGCTAGCCATTCTTGAAATTTTACCATATTGATTACCTAGCCACGCTCCCTCTCTATCTTTCTGCCTAATAGTGAGTCTCACTCCTGGTCTCTCACTACCAGAGGAGAGAGGTAATGAACCCAGCCACAAACCCTTCAGTTACAAAAGTGATCTACATGATGTGCTTGTGCAACAGTGGCACAAGAGATGTTGGCGTAACCAATCACTCTCTGGCTAATACAGCTAATACAGGGCTACTGCACAGGGCAGACCCATGCCTAACACTGCTTAGGTGGTCAAGAACTGAGACTAGATCTAGGACCTTAGGGGAAAACTAGATGCCATTGTTCTTCTAAAGGAATATAACAATAAACAACTACTAATGACATTCTGGTATACCCATAGATCAGTGTCTTCCTACGTTCTCAACTTAACAAGAAATAATACAGAAATGCGCACCTGGACAATGTGCAGAGATTATAGAGCATCCAGTCCTAAATAGGGGTCTTTATCAAACTCCTCCCCTCAGGGTTCAGGGAACTATGTGGAAGAGGAAACAGAAAGACTGTAAAAGCCAGTGGAGACGGAAGACACCAAAGAAACAGCAGGACCAATGCACACAGGAACTCACAGAACCCAGGGCAGGATGCGCAGGGCCAGGCCAGAGGGGGTCCCAGCTCAGGACACAAGACAAGAATTAGTTTCATTAGACTCTAACGTAGTCTTACTGGGTATAATTAACCACATTTGAGGGCAGGCCCTGTGCCTAGCTGTAGATGTCCACAACACAAAACAAACTCTGGTATTTTAGGGGTCTTTTTTGGTCTCATATTGCTTTGTTTGTTTGGCCCCTTTCCACTTTTTGTTTTGTATGTGACTTTGCGTGTATATGTCTCTTGTGCTTTTTCTTCCTTTATTTTTTATTCTGTTTTGTTTGTTTTGAGAGGGTCTGTCTCTGTAGCCCTGGCTATCCTGGAGGTAGGCATGCCTCTTCCTCCCAGAGTCTGGGTTTAGAGTCGTTCACCACTACGCCCGACCTTTCTCTTTCTTAAAAAGTTTTTGGGTTTGTGTGTGTCACTTGTGCCTTTTAATTATTTATTTATCTTTTAAATACCTGATTTCTAAGTCAAGAGCAAGGAGACGTGGAGTTGGATGGGTGGGGAGAATCTGGGAGGCAATGGGGGACTTTGGGAACTACAAGCTTTTCCTGAGTCCTTGTTTCTGCTTTTGTAAAGATTGAGATACGGAACTACAAATGGCTAAAATATATTCCAACAATGGCTAAAAGTGAGGGCGGGGGAGAGTAGTCTGAATTGGGTTATGAGGCGGGTGCCTCACCTCAGCCATTGAACTCGCACCGCCGGCCGTGAGTCTTTTCCAAGCTCCGGCGAGGGGGGCATCCGCCCACCCGTGCGGGGGGCTTCTCCTGCCCGGTCTGCCCGCGCGCGGAGCCCCGTTCTCTGGGAACTCACCTCCCCGCTCGGGGAGGGCCCGGTTAGGGCCGCGGGGGGCCCCAGTCTCAGACCTTCCCAGGGGCCTGGGAGTGACGAGCACTCAGCACGTGGCCCCGCCGATGAGCTTCCTCCGCCCGCCGGGGAGGCGGGGCAGCGGTGCTAAAAGACTCCAGGGCAGCCCGGACTTCACGGTTAGGGTGGCTTCCCACCAGGCGCAGCGCTGCTCATTTGCATGGCCCCGCCCCAGACGGGAAGCCCGCGCTACTAGGCCGGGGTGAGGACGTCGGCCTCTCGCGCCATGGCGCCGCGGCGGCGGAGAGCGGGCTGCAGGAGGCGAGGTGAGCTGCATCCGTAACGGCAGACGCGACTGTCGAGTCCTGTTAGCAGCTAGTGGGCATGCAACTAAAAGAAGGTCTTCGTGACTGAGTCTAGCGCTGCCAAAGGACAAACGCGTACAGCACAGTGGTTAACTGCTTATGTCAGCTTTCATCCGATTTCAGAGAGAAAAATTCGGGTCTTGAAATTGTTGGCTGTGGGCTGCATACTGTGTTCTTAATTGTACCCTGTTAAATTACATACGGTGTGTACACGATCTTACTTTTTGTTCAACGAACTCCAAGGTTCTGAAGCTCCAGTGAGGAAAGCTGGCTGTAAGCTGGTCCAGACTGTAGGGCACTTTACTGACCATGATTATATGATCTAGAAGGTATTGAAGACCAGAGGTTACGAAACCCATACCACAAGTAGTGAACTTTGAACAAATTTATTTTGTCCTGTTTTTTTCAGGATAG